ATGTATATGAATTTTCAGGTTTATTCAATGAATTTTTCCCTACTTGACCTTCAACTGACCACGAACCTGACGTGGTGAAGACTAACGGACTTCGGATTCGCATTCAGTGTGTCGAATAACATAGGGATATATAGGTTTGGTTTAATATGCATAAGTTTTTTGTTTTATAAACCTGTGTAATCGATAAATTATTAACTTTGATTAATCAAAAATTATTATTCTTTGATAAATTACATAATTATGTTTCTATTAATCAGCTTTTTCTTTCAATTGATTTACTGCATGCACATCCCTATTACATATATGGGTATTTCCTGGGTTACGGACGCGACATTCGTACGACTTTAGAGTTAAATAAATCATACGAAAACTGAAGTCACTTGTAAAAAAATGTGCTGTTGTGTAGCTTTTATACCGTCCTCTGGTTGACAAAAAACTAGGTGCGCTTGGAACACTGAAGTCGAGAAAATCGATGAAAAGTAGGGCATAACGGACGCGACAAAAACAGAAGTGATTTCAGAGTACATGTTAAAACTAAGCAAAACTCAGCGAATCGTGTAAGGTTTTCCTTTATTAAACATTCTTGAAATAAAGTCTAATTATGGACCGTTACAACCAATTCTTTTTTAATCAGAAGCAATTTGTTGTTGATTTAATTTTGAATTAAAATCTGGTAACGGACGTGACATATCGGACGCGACAGATTTTCCCCCCTTACAATATTTTTACTAGTAACACATACTAAATTTAATTTTTTATTAAATTTTTTCAGTTCTTCTCTCCACAGCTTCCCGTTTTCAAAACCTCTTTTCGCCATCTGAATGCGAAATATAAAGTTATAAAGCCGTTTAAATTCATTTACTTGCATTTTCGGTTTACCTTTTTTTGGGAAATGCCCATATGATATGGGGGATTTCACCGTCATGGGTGGCGACATTTATACAGACAAATTCTCCTTTCTTGTTTAAATTTAAGTATAAAGTACTCAAGAATTCTACATTTTGATAAAGCTACACCTAATCGACTATTTTATGAGTTATTACAAAATACGAAAAAAATTCCAGCTTACTTTTATATGAAAAAAATCTGAGTCATTTCTTCTGTCACGGGTGGGGCAAGAAAAAAAAGAACCTGCTTTTTGGAGCAGATATATTTTACGGAAACTCTGCGAATTTCTTTCACTTTTATGTGTGAACTTGTTGTCTTTATAATAAAACATATATTTTTTAAACCAAACACTTGAATTATGAATCGCAAATTATTTGACAGTGCCTTCCATTAGAGCTGGAAAACTATCGATGGTCGTGGCCTAAACTATCGAAAATGCCGACACTATCGATAGTAATGTCTCGAAATTTTTTAATGCTTTTAAGTTTTGTGTATACTTTCAATGTAAAATTTTTTAATTTGTTTTCGTAATAGCGGATATTTTTATTTGTTTTATGTTTATTTTTTTATAAAATTTTAACATTTTGTCAAAGTCCATAAGTCAATTTATTTCGCCTAAATTTCTACATACATATTGTGTACATATTTTGATTTGGTACCTTTTACTTTGTTGCAAAAAAAAATCTAATTACAAATGTAGGTATAAATATATCTTTATAAATCTTTGAATAAAGTTCGAATCCCTATATGGAGTTTTGCTTTCCTTTAAACAGCCAATATGTTGTATTCAAAGTTTTGCGAAATGCTTGAAGAAAATGGCTTTAAAATTTTTTTTGTTTCCTCTCCTGTAACATTTTTAAAATAGGACTTAGCAACTTTTCACTCTAAGCTAGGGATATATGTTTTAATAAACAACAGAAAAAAAAGAGAATTTAATAAATAAAAAAATACCACCCTTTCCACTGGTTTCTGAATCAGCGCAAAAAAATGGCAAAAAATAAGCTCGGTTTTTGCAGCATGCGCCATGGCACTCATAAGCTGGCTGCGTAAATTTGCAAATATGTATCACCAACGGCAGCTAATTTTTCTAAATTTGCCACAAACCTCTCACTTCACTATAGAATATGGTAGTTAAAATTGGTGTGGCGAACTCCTTGATCTCAGTGGTGAACTCTCGCATCTCAGATCTTCTAATTAGTACTTGAAAAAATGTTACTTAACATTTGCGCCTTCTCATTACATTAACATTCTCTGATAGAAGGTCGCGCAATGCGCGAAATAAAAATTGCCTCTCTTTGCGCATATCGTCCCAGGGCGATTTTTGCTTTCACGTTTTCATGCCGAAAACGCCACAAAACTTAATTTTTTCACAGCGGCCAATTTTTGCGAAATTTTCATTTAAACTCGCTATACCTCAGACGTTTATGTTTCGATTGATTTGAAATTTTTACACTATAAACTAAATCGAAATGGCGTATATTTTAACATTTTTATAAAAATTAAGGAGGTGGTTTTCACAAATGCAAACGTTGTGTTATGAAGTTTAAAATTTTAGTTTTTTTTTTTAATGCAGCATTAAAGATAAATATATATGAACATTTTTGGGAAAGTTTCAGGTTTAGACAACAAGTAGTTCTAAAGTTATAACAATATTATCAAGACACCCACGAGCGGGCGCTCCTCAGTGGTTCGGATCGCAAATCTAGCTGGACGAAACTATTTAAACAAATACTCGTTGATGGATCTTTACACCACTTCTTACCTAGGGGATTTTTGGGTCGCTGATTACGAATCTGAAGTCACTTATCAAAAATTCAAAATGGCGGATCCAATATGGCGGACGAAAATTAAAAAAAATCGGTAGATTTCTATGAAACTGGGTATCTGGGGCTTTTCTGGGTCGCTGATTACATATCTAAAGTCATTTACCAAAAATTCAAAATGGCGGATCCAATATAGCGGACGAAAAGTAAAAAAAAAATCGGTAGATTTCTATGTAACTGGATATCTGGGGGTTTTCTGGGTTGCTGATTACGAATCTAAAGTCATTTACTTAATTTACTTCGGAACGAACATTTTCATCAGATATATCTTTCAATTTACTAATCACATAATCACGGACAACTTGTTGTCTTTTAGAAGTTTCAGCAACACTTCTCCAAATGTCAAACAACTCACTTCTTAAGATTTTCTTTACCATGACTAAAATTCAAGATCACAGCAAGAAACACAAATAAATTTCAGAAACAAATTTATAACAGCGCTTAAAGATTTGCATTCCTGTTGTATAATTTTTTTAATTTCAGAAAGCAGAAAATTCGCGAGTTACTATTTATATAACCAAAGTTTTTATTACTCCAAGTATTTTTCTTTTTTAACACACAACCCTTTCAGCTTTTAAAATAGAGTTCTCAAATAGGCGGCGTTGTCTTACCTTTTTTTGTTTGTTTTCATATGTTAATGCTTTAATAAATGCAATTTCTATTTGAATGTATTGTCAGGAATGTATTCCAAGTACCATTAAGTATTTTAAAAACAAAAAAATTTGGACTTTCGTCCAGCTAGATCTGCTATCCGAACCACTGTGCGCTCGCCTCTAGATGACAAATATTTTTACTGGGCACTTGTACAAGTAATTTTGGAAGTAACATTAAGTGAAATGTTGAAATTCATAAATTTATCAGTGTAATATAACTTATTAAAGCTCTAGTACCTACATACTATGTATGCATATGAGGCAATTCACGTCAGATGTCCCATGCGCGCTGAGCGGTGCAAAACAAGCTTGTTTTCGAATAGCTGAAAAGCAGACAGAAAATAGGAAAAATAATTGAAAAACCATGATTTATATAGATTTTTGTACGGGCTATCCGATGGTGTTATGCGTTTTCCAAAGTTTTCCCATTTTCACGGTGAAAATTCGCAACGAAATTATATTTGTAATTTTTCTCAATTATGGTCATTTTTAATATTGTTTTAAGTCATCTCAATCGAAAGATCAGGTCTTTTTACATATAAATCATTAATAAAAAAGGGAATTTTTTGATTTTTCCGAGCTATAAAGCGTTTTATAGCGGGCTATACCAGTCGCCACTCTCCATCGCGTCACGTCGACTCCGTTCGTTTGAACGAAATAAAACATCATACAGTGATAGGGAATTTATACAAAAACATTACTTTAACACGCTATATCTCAGACGTTTGTGTATCGATCGATTTCAAATTTTCACACAATAAACTAAAAACTATTCCAAAGAATTTAATATAAAAAAGACTTCTTAATACTTATTAAAAACAAAATGCCGGTTTTTAGAACTTTTTTATAAAAATAAATGGGGTTGTCTTATGCTAATTGAAAATGTGTGTTATAAAGTTTCAAATCTAATTTCTTTTTTAATGCAGCATTATAGACAAATATCTGAGACAGTTGTTGGGAAACTTTCAGATTTAAATACCAGGTCGTTCAAAAGTTATAACAATATGAAGGTGATGCGTACGTGTTAGATATATCGAGTTTAAGTGAAAAAGTGAAAGTCGGCTCGGTTCTAATGATGGCACGATTAATCGAATAACCGATTATAATCCGTTATTTTCATTCGGTTAACGATTTAATTGTATCGA